GAGAAACTCAAAGCCATCCCACTTAACTCAGGAACACGACAAGGCTGTCCACTCTCCCCATACCTCTTCAATATAGTGCTTGAAGTTCTAGCAATAGCAATAAGACAACATAATGGAATCAAGGGGATTCGAATTGGAAAGGAAGAAGTTAAACTTTCGTTATTTGCAGATGATATGATAGTGTACATAAGCGACCCCAAAAACTCCACCAAAGAACTCCTACAGCTGATAAACAGCTTTAGTAATGTGGCAGGATACAAGATCAACTCCAAAAAATCAGTCGCCCTCTTATACACAAAGGATATGGAAGCAGAGAGGGAAATCAGAGAAGCTTCACCATTCACAATAGCCAAAAACAGCATAAAATATCTTGGGGTAAATCTAACCAAGGAAGTGAAAGATCTATTTGACAACAACTTTAAGGCATTGAAGAAAGAAATTGAAGAGGATACCAAAAAATGGATGGACCTCCCTTGCTCTTGGATTGGGAGGATCAACATAGTAAAAATGGCAATTCTACCAAAGGCTATTTATAGATTCAATGCAATCCCCATCAAGATCCCATCAAAATTCTTCACAGATCTGGAGAGGACAATAATCAACTTTATATGGAAAAACAAAAAACCCAGGATAGCCAAAACAATCCTATACAATAAAGGATCTTCTGGAGGCATTACCATCCCTGACTTCAAACTCTATTACAGAGCTACAGTAATGAAAACAGTGTGGTACTGGCATAAAAACAGAGAAGTCGACCAATGGAATCGTATAGAAGACCCGGATTTTATCCCACAAACCTATGAACACCTGATTTTCGATAAAGGAGCTAAAAGTATAAAATGGAAGAAAGAAAGCATCTTCAACAAATGGTGCTGGCACAACTGGATGTCATCTTGTAGAAGAATGAAAATAGACCCTTATCTATCACCGTGCACAAAACTCAAGTCCAAATGGATTAAAGACCTCAATATCAGCCCGAACACACTGAACCTGATAGAAGAGAAAGTGGGAAGTACCCTACAGGAGCTGGGCACAGGAGATCGCTTCCTATGTATAACCCCAGAAGCACAGACATTAAGGGCAACATTGAATAAATGGGACCTACTTAAACTGAGAAGCTTCTGTAAAGCAAAGGACATAGTCAATAAGACACAAAGGCAACCTACTGACTGGGAGAAGATCTTCACCAACCCCACAAGAGACAAAGGTCTGATCTCCAAAATATATAGAGAACTCAAGAAACTAGACTTTAAAATGCTAATTAACCCAATTAAAAAATGGGGCACTGAACTGAACAGAGAATTCTCAGCAGAGGAAGTTCAAATGGCCAAAAGACACTTAAAGTCGTGCTCGACTTCCTTAGCAATCAGGGAAATGCAAATCAAAACAACTTTGAGATATCATCTTACACCTGTCAGAATGGCTAAAGTCAAAAACACCAAGGATAACCTTTGCTGGAGAGGCTGTGGAGGAACGGGTACCCTCATCCATTGCTGGTGGGAATGCCATCTTGTGCAACCACTGTGGAAGTCAGTGTTTCGGTTTCTCAGGAAATTCGGGATCAACTTACCCCTGGACCCAGCAATACCACTCTTGGGAATATACCCAAGAGATGCTCTATCATATGACAAAAGCATTTGTTCAGCTATGTTCATAGCAGTATTATTTGTAATAGCCAGAACCTGGAAACAACCTAGATGCCCTTCAATGGAAGAATGGATGAAGAAAGTATGGAATATATACACGCTAGAGTACTACGCTGCGGTAAAACACAATGACTTCTCGAATTTTGCAGGCAAATGGATGGAAATAGAAAACACTATCCTGAGTGAGGTGTCCCAGACCCAAAAAGATGAACATGGGATGTACTCGCTCATAATTGGTTTCTAGCCATAAATTAGGGCCACGGAGTCTACAATAGGTGAACCTAAAGAAGCTAAGTAAGAAGGTGAACCCAAGGAAAAACATATAGTTATCCTCTTGGCTAAGGGAAGTAGACCCAATTGCCGGGGAGAAAATTAGGATCTTGGGGGTGGGGTGGGATGGGGGTAAGGGGAGATGGGGAGAGAAAAGGTAGAAGGGAAGGAGGGGGGACTTGGGGAATCAGGAGAATTGGGATAAAGGAAAGGTGGATAGGGGAGCACGGAACCACAATTCTTAGTTAAGGGAACCACTTTAGGGTGAGCAAGAGATTTGACCCTAGAGGGGCTCCCAAGTGCCCAACATGAGGTTCCCAGTTAGTTCCTTGGGTAGCTGAGGATTGGGAACCTGAAATGACCCTATCTGAGAGCAATACTGACGAATATCTTGCATATCATCATAGAACCTTCATCTGGTGATGGATGGAGACAGAGACATTCATCTGGTGATGGATGGAGACAGAGACAGAAACCCACACTGGAGCACTGGACTGAGCTCCCAAGGTCCCAATGAGGAGCAGAAGGAGGGAGAACATGAGCAAAGAAGTCGGGACCACGAGGCATGCACCCACCCACTGAGACAGTGGAGCTGATCTACTGGGAGCTCACCAAGGCCAGCTGGACTGTGACCGAAAAAGCATGGGATAAAACCGGACTCTCTGAACATGGCGAACAATGAGGGCTGATGAGACGCCAAGGACAATGGCACGGGGTTTTGATCCTACTTAATGTGCTGGCTTTGTGGAAGCCTAGCCAGTTTGGATGTTCACCTTCCTAGATATGGACGGAGGGGGGAGGACCTAGGACTTACCACAGGGCAGGGAACCTGGACTGCTCTGTGGACTGGAGAGGGAGGGGGAGAGGAGTGGGGGGAGGGGTAGAAGGGTGGGAGGAGGGGGAGAAGGGTGGGAGGAGGGGGAGGGAAATGGGAGGCTGGGAGGAGGTGGAAACTTGTTTTTTGTTTATGTTTTTTTTCTTCTTTTCTTAATAAAAAAATTATTAAAAAAAGTGTAATATATAATTTAGAAGTACAGGTTAGTAGATAGTCATCTATAATAGTCAAGCTTGTTGTCATGTTAGGTTTTCTAGATGTACAGAGATAAATTTCAGATGGATAGGTATTTTCAAATATTTCAAGGATGTACAAAATATGGTATTTAAACTGTTTTAAGAACTTAGTACTTTTCATGACAACGAGATATATCTGCTCCTGGCAGCACCAATGTACCAAGAAGATGATAGCCATTGAAGAGGTTCCTAGTGGAGTCTGCTAGCCATTTGGGCAAGAAACTGTTCTTTCCTCGATTGCTTGATGGTATGCTGTATAAACTGCACATTTAGGACCTACATAAAAATGACTGTTGAACTTGCCTAAAGAAGGTGAGACAATCCTTCAGAGTTCCTGCTTCATGAGAGAATCTGCCAGACATTCTGCATGATACAGAAGAAAGTGATTGACATAGTACCAAAATATGCAGAACTGTCCTTGAAATTTCCTGCTTCATGGGAAAGCCTGCCAGATACTATGGTCCTATAGGCTAAAAATGTATGCCCCAATGTTACAGAAGCACTTTGGGTGACTTTTCAGGCAGCAAGATGTCTCTGTCAATTCTAGAGTTTTGGAAGTTACTTACATCCTGTTTACTTAAGTAATAATATATCCTTCTGGATTCTTTGATAGAGTTAAAGAAAGATAATTATAATTATAAAAGACAAATTAGATATAAGACTTTAGAATCATAAAGATAGGATAGATGATAGAGTATTTTCCTTAGTTTGCCAAATGTGAATGGACTAAATATTATAACTATAATTCTTGCTTGGTTATTGTTTTGTTTTATGTAATTATACTATGTTGAAGTTAAAACCTTCTGTTTTTTTTAGACAGAAAAGGGGAAGTGCTATGGGAATCCCCTCCATATGTTGTGAATATGTTTTATTATCATTGGTTAATAAAGAAGCTGTTTTGGCCTGTGACAGAGCAGAATAGATCTAGGCAGGAAAAAACTGAATGGTGGGAGAAGAAGGCAGAGTCAGAGAGACACCATGCAGCTGCCAAAGGAGACAGATGTCCCAAAACCTTACCAGTAAACCACGAGTCTTGTGGTAACCTATAAAATAATAGTATGGGGAAATTTAAGATGTAAGAACTAGATAGATTTATGCTTAAGCTATGGCCAAACAGTATTGCAATTAATACAGTTTCTGTGTGATTATTTTGGGTCTCGGCAGCTGGGAAACGAAAGAACAGTCTCTGTCTACAAGACACATTGGACATAGTATTGCCTGAGGTTGTAAGCTTTCCAATGTAGGTTCTGTGACTCAAACTCAAGTCCTTTACAAGAATAGTATATGCTGATAGTCACTGAACCAACCCTATATCTCCAGGTACTTGGTGGTTTTGTTTCCTAAAACATTTTTGATCTTTGTCCTGGGGGGACAGATCAAATTTGTAAAAAGTTTCATATCTTGCCTTTAAGATTTACTATGTGGAACCAGATATTTCCTGATAATTGTCAAGCTCTATGTAAGTATTCCCTCAGTTCCATGTGAGTAAAGAGGCTATCCAGTTTCATTGATAGGACAGGCAGTGTTCTTGTATTAGACACTGTTCTTTTTTATTCTTTTATTTGAGTCTTTCTCTGGAAGTTTTCTCATGTATAAGCTGAGTCATCCTCAGTTGAATACTGGAGACTTTTAGATTTCACTCCAAGGAACTGCTGGAGCAGTGGGTTTGTGTAGAACGGTAGGGATGGGCCTCTGTTCTGAAGAGCCTGGAGGTAAAAATTATCAAGGCAAAGGCCTATTTTAAGAGATACCAAGTGAAACCTTAAAAGTGATGAGAGAGTAAAATGGATTACTATGCTCCAAAAAACTTGGTAATCTAGTACAAGAATAATACATATCCAAACATAGTGTGTGTAACTAACAGAGATTTAATCTGCTGAGTTGTTTATAGCCATATATACAAGGATTTGATACTCTGCACAACATATGCACATAAACTACCAAAATATGGTGCGAAAACTGTCTTAACAAGTGATGATATAGGCTGTTGTAGAGCCTGCTGCTGAACTGCAGGCTTCTCAGTAGGTTTGGCATGGACAAGGTCTATGGAGGCCAAGTGGAGATTACTGGAGATGAACACAATGTGGGAAGTATTGACAGTTCATCTGAGGCCTTTACTTGTTGTTTGGATACAGGCTTTGCCAGAACTATAATTGGAAATAAAAATTTGGTGTCCCGAATGGAACTCTGGATGAAGGCTTCTCTAGCCCTCACTGTGCCAAATGACTCCCAGGTTATCACTCTGGAAACAAGGAGTACAATGCAAAAGCACTTCAGAAGTGTATCATGGGTGAGAATATTGCAGGCCACATGAGTTGTCAATGGAATGAAGATGCTTCCTAAGAAACAATTCTCTCTGTATATGAACAGCAGCAGCATAACTCAAGACATGGAGAAAGTGCATGGGAATGCTCATGCTTCTATAGGAGAGAATACAGTCTGTGAGCAGGGACTAAGAAGTGGTAGAATTGTCCCCAAATGTCCCTTGTTCAAAAGTACTGGGTAGATCAAAAGAAGGCAGGTTTCTTGACAGCTCAGGAGTGGGATGCTGAGAACTTAAGCAATTTTCCATAAAGACAATAAGTGTAGCGATCAAGCCATAAAAATGAAACAAAACATCCTGCAATGTTAGACTTCTTTGTCTAGGAAGCCTTTTTGTACTCTTTCCTGCAAAGTCTTGTCTTCTCAGTCTCTCTCAGCCCCTAGCTCCATCTCTTAGACTCAGGGAGTCTGCTAAATCTTTGTATGCTTCTGGGCTGTGCCATAGTATATGACCTGGGAGGTTACAGGACTCACCTACCTGTAACCTACCCATCAGGCTTGATTGTTCTTGATAATCAGCACCTTGATGATCACTTGTTTCAGAGATATTCTAAAATTTTCTGGTTGTTTAGGGTTAGACTGCAATGTATTCTTTGTTATTCCATCTTGGCTAGAGAGAAGTCTATTGTTAATATTTTGACATAAAATGGTATGTTAAGATAAATTCACTGTTCATACCTGGAAAATATATCTTGCTATCCTAGTATATTTGTGAGGCATAAATCAATGTGTGGAGTGTACTGTATTATTTACAGTTTCCACTTTTGTGTGTTTTGATGTCTAATTAGAAATATACAACTGTTTGAATCAGATAAATATGGGAGAATTAAAAGATAACAGAGGATGGTCATAGTATAGTTACAAAGGATATGGCAAATATAAAATGACGAGAAAATAGGTGGGGCAATGGTAAGGACAAGCAAGGTTAAGATGTGGAGGAATAATGGAGATAAAAATGGAGAGGCAGATGATCATCCTCAGGGGACATCTTTTCTGCGATACTTTGTTCTTATGATAGAGGCATTACCTTTATTCTTAGCCTCACTCTTTTTGTGTGTACCTTATCATTCACTTCCAAATACCTCTTTCCTATGTGTATTTAAGGGCATGTAACCCTAAATAAAGGACATGATAAATAAAAAAAAAAAACAAAACAACAATAATAACGGTGATAATAATACGGAAAAATTGTGACATAGCTTAGTGGCAATTATGGGTTCAATTCCCCATGCCACACAAAATTAAGAATAATGTAAAACAACTACTCTAAATAAATCATATGTACACATATGTATGTGTGTGTGTGCGCACACACACACACACACATATATACAAAATAGCACTATGTAATTTACACATGGAATGAAATGAAGATCAGGCAACTCTGTGCTTTTAAAAAAATACCTTTACTTATTAATCAAAACTCTTAATATGGCTGAAATCAACAACAAAACAGTGTGATGCCCATGTCATTCCTTAATAATACTTTCAGTATTTTCTAAAATGGTATCAAGATTTGGAAGCAGTGCTTAAGTGCTTATAACTCAAGTCTAAAAAGGACTTAATGCTATATTTTTGAGAATTGCCATCTGTCAAATTTTTAAAAATTCTGAATAGTGATTCTGTTTTCCATTCTTTTTCTTTTCCCTGACAATTCATTCTTAGTAGTTCTCTAATTGGATAGTGGGAAAATAGACTTTCACATTTAGAGTTTAGAGAAACAGCAGAATTCCTGAATATTGAGCAGTTCACTAGAATGTTAAACCAGCAAGCAGGCAACAAAACACAAAGAAAAAGGACTGACAGTGAGCCTCATCACACAGGGGTTGCAGATCTTTAGGCGATTGATTTCTAATATTTACAAGTGTCCGTGCTGTGCTGTTTGTATCTTCTCCTTACAGTAAACAATATTTAAGTGATATCCAGCATCGACATAACGATTACTCTGAATGATTTACCGCAAAAGCTACTACTTTCTCATCAAAGGCAACTAATCCCTCCACCCCAGAGAAAGATAGAGGAGGCAGACCTGGAATCTACTTCTAGACTAGGGACACCCTCACCCCAAAATAAGTCTGAGTATGCCCTCCCCTGGCCGCACCAGCAGCACCCCTTCAATTCACTAGCTCAAGCTGCTACAATACTGCAAAGGCAGCCCTAGTCTTTGAAGGGAAATGCCAGAAGTACCATGTTTGTTTTAAAATAGCAACACCCATCTTACCTACAGGCACATAGTTTTAGTGATAACGTCAATATTTTTATCTGTTTTGTCAAAGGTAATAAAGAAACCTCAAATTTCATTTCTCCTTTCTGCCTCCTTGCTGTGTTGTGGCATACCAAGATGCAGAAATTGATGCTGCCGGTCCTTTCAGTTCAAAGAATCTAAGTAAAAATGTAGAGGGGGAGGCAAGAAGATTTTTAAAATAATAAAAAAGAATGCATTTAAAGTGTAGACTTAAGTAGATGAACTCACCAGAAGAGCGAAAAACAAATGGTTGAAAGATAAAAAGAAAACGGCCAAGAAAGGAACAAAGAGAAACAATGAAAACACAGAGTAACTCCTCCGAGTCTAAAATATGAAGATATGGAGATTGTGGAAAATTCTTGTGCTAATGAAGGCTTTCTTTTGTTGGGAATGTTTCCAAGCTCAAAACAGTTGTGTGTAGTTAATCTGTACCTTCTTCCTATTGCAGCTTCGGATACGAGTCGCACTGGGCCATCAGGCCTAATGTCTTTTCCAATCCAGTGCTATACTGGAAAAGCTATCCTTTCAGAATTTTCCTAATACTTCAAGACAAACCACTGTCCTGTGAATCTGTATCGGTGCCTCTGCAACTTCAGTGTGCTCAGTGTTTGATTTGGTAGATCCAGGTTGGGGCCCTGGTTTTTTTTTTTCTTCCATTTCTAAGAACTCAGTAGATGATGGTGGAACTGTTGTTAGTCCTGGACATACATTTTGAGAACCAATGCTGTTTCACCAACAGAAACGTTTCTTAAGGATCCAGTGTAGCCAGGCATCGTAATGCACACCTTTAATGCTAGCACTCAGGAGAAAAAAAGCAGGCGGCTCTCTGTGTGTTCGGGGCCAGCGTGGTCTACGAAGTGAATTCCCAGACAGTGAGAACTATGTGAGAGACCCCATCTCATTTTTAAAAAAATAATTCAGTAGGTTAAGTTTGGATTTCATGTTTTTCTGCCCCATCCCTTTAATTTTCTACTGATGGAGGGGTGGAGGAGTGAGGTGAATACGTTCTCATGTGATAATTATTTTTTTCTTTCATTTTCTAAAAGGAAAACTCCAAGCCCACACACTAATTATCTGTGATGAGGTCATTTGCACCTAGGTCATTTATTTAGGCAACAAGTTTTCTTGCCAGAGGATTTTTAAGGGGATGCTGGCAAGAGGACGTGTGGCTTCCAGGTTCCTGGGTCTACCTTCAACTCCTTTCGGTCTTTGTTCATATCCTTCTTAGTTTCTTTTCGTTCTCTCTTTTTCTATTCTGTTTTGAAAGCGCTCACAGTCCCTGGCTGTCCAGGTTCCCAGGTCCTTAGGTGGGGGCGGAGCCCTGCGCGGCCCCGCCCCGTCTGAGCACAGCTCCCCCCCACCTCCCCTCCCCGTCCGGCCCGCCCGCCAGCCCGCCAGCCAGCCGGGCTCCTCCGCAGTGCTTTCGGCTGCGAGCCTGGGCGGCGGCGCTCGACTTTTGGGGAGCCCGGCGGCTTGGGCAAGCTTACTCCTCCACGCTAAACTCCCGCCTCTATCTGTCTGTGAAACCCTTACAACCATGAGGGAACAGCTCAAAGGGTAAGTGGTTCGTGCCCCCCGACCCCCTCCTGTCCCCTCAATTCGTGCACTTGTGGCACGAGCTGCTGCCAGGAGAAGGCAAAACTTGGACCAGAGGCGGTGGTGGCTGGTGGTGGCTGGTATAGGCTAGACCCAGACGTCGGGGTAGCTCTCCCACCCGTCTTGGGAGCCTCTGCAGGTGCGTCCCCCAGGCTTCCACCCCGGCGCCAGTGCTCGCTACTCAGCTCCTTCCTGGCTGCTGGGACAGGCTCGGAGAACTAAAGCAGATTTCTCCCTTTGCCCAGAGAGGGACAGACCGCTCCTCCCGTGGGGATCGGGCTCCGGGAGCTTTTTGCTCCTTTCCGGAGCTGCCGGTGTGGACATGAACTAGGCGGGCTGTTCCCCCAAATCGCCTTTGGACCTGGCAGGAGGAAGGGGCGCACGCGGTTCTACCTTGCATTGCACTGCTAAGTGCCAAAAGGTCAACTTTCTGCCTGATTTCTTCCGAGGATTCCAACTGACATTTCCCTCGCTGTGTTTTCTCCTGTGCTTATTCCATGCTTCAGGACTTGGAGAAATAAAGAAAACAAGAACAATTAAAGCCTAGAAAGTCAAGGGATTGACCGAGAGAAGAAAGAGAGAGGCTTGAGAGGGTTGGGGTTTTTATTTAATTACTATTATAATTATTTGTTTATTTCTTGGACTTCTGTTGAGGTTCAGAGTGGAGTCATTTCATGGCGACTTTTCTGCTTCTCTAGGGTGTCTATAAGCAAAGTTTGTCATTCTTAATCTTATCACAATGGAAAGGGCAAGACAATGCTTATCTCAATTAATTTGAAGTTAAGTTTGAAACTGAAATTGAAGGGGTTTAATTGTCTAAGGGAGCGCAGTGTTATTATAAACTGATTTAATATCAAAGAAAAATCCATCTTCTGGTTTAAGTAACAAACTAGTCTTTAAGTGAAATCTACATTCTTTTTTTCTCTACCAATATGCTCTTCCTCGGCCCTGAGCTTACTCCCCCTGTCTGTCCTTGTCACCCCATCATCTTTTTTTGCCTAGATATTTTTATTTCCTTGTCCTAAACCTTCTAGAGAGGATACCCTTGCTTCTAAAGAAGCGAGAGGAGCAAATGAGACAACTCAGTTATATGAAAGGTTACTGACCCTTGAGCACCGTGGAATTGTTTTCCGTTGTCATTGTTTGATCTTTTGCTGGCCACGACCCTGAAGTGAAATTACCTTGGCCAACGTTGAGGGTGGGTGGGAGGTAAACCCTGAAAAGCAAATAGAACTGGGAGGACAAGTAACAGCTGGAACAGCCACCAAGGCCATCATCTTTGCCCTGAGTTGAACCAAACAGAATAAAATGTTAAATATCTCTGAGAACAAGAAATGGGAACCAGAATAGTATGTCTGATGCTCAGATTGATGCATAGCCACTGAAGTCCCTTCCCCACAGTAGCAGAAACTTCTAAATATATTTCCCATCCCACCCTACCCTGCCAGTATTCCAGCCACTAGCCAAGTTCAACAATTCAACATACAAATGCCAAGGTTCCTCTAGAAAGAGGCTGGTCTCCAGATTAAAGGGGGAAGCGCTCTCTCTCTCTCTCTCTCTCTCTCTCTCCCTCCCTCTCTCCCTAGCTCTCCCTCTCTGTGTGTGTGTATGTGTGTCAGTGTGCTCTAGATTATATATGAAGCCAACCCTAATCCTCCTCAAAACACAAGAGAAGGCTACTTTTTTTTTTACAATGGTGCATAGTGATTGTTCATCCCTGGGAAATAGTGGAAAGAATATAGAATATTTTCAGTACCAAATAACAGTGGTTGCAAAAGAAATCTTACTTTAATTAGGTGACTGCCATTTCCTCAGTGAATGCCTTAGATATTTGTTACTTTTATGTGTCTAATGTTTGTTTTTAAGAAACTACAAAAGCAATTCCAATAAGTCTGATTATTTTAGCACTGACAGCAGTAACAGCTCCAAGGCAGTTGTAATAACCTTGTACACTACTTGAAACTAAAAAAGGTGAAAGAAAATGTAAATTCTTCGGTAGGAAATTAGGTCAACCCTATGCTTAGTAGAGTAATGCTTTCATTTCTGATTATTGACAAGTAGGTGTTGCTAGGATCTTTTGTCATAGCCAGTGATTTAGTATTTTAATTTCTATCACAGCGTCAAATAAAAGGAAACGAGAGATTCTTTGTGGTTTGTACACGTATGCTGGGGGTTGGCAGGTCGGGGATTGCTCAGAGAGGTGTAGCTGACACGTAAGTTTGGAATCTGTGGGGCCCAAATCAATAGCAGGTTTCAAAGATTTCAGAAAGGTTTGCAGGGTTGTGGGTGTCGTCAGTGTCAGTGTTAATGTCCAGAAAGACTTGTGGTCTATATTGAACACCCTTGTTCTCAGGAAGGCTGAACAAAGATGTACTCAATAACTTGGGAGCAGGTTTCAGAATATCCTCTTTTGTTGGAAATGGTATATATATATATATATATATATATATATATATATATATATATATATATGGGCAGTGTTTTCCTGGATGTGTAAAGAGAAGGCCATATTTTACTATATATCTGTATATTCCAGGTAAATGTGAGTTACTCATCTTGAAGAAGGTGAGAATTTTCTGTTGTTTTTCTTTAAAGACAGTCGCAGGGTAACAAACTGTAAAATCCAAACTGATTACCTCTACCTCCCCCCAAATTAGTGTGTCCTTCAAGACAGAGTATAGACCTGAGCGAGGCAAATGTGTGTTTACTGTTGTCTTTCTGTCTTTTGAGGGAAGAGGTTTACTGTGTCCCTATAGGGCTTTTTACCCCAGATACAAAATTCTCACATGGACGGAAGTGAATATTTGGTTCTTATCCCTCAATTTGATGTTCATTCAGCAACGTAGCCGAACATATTAGTGTTAAATGTTGACGTGATTATCTTTCTGGTTTTGAGGACTGATCGTACCTCTTATTCCTCTTTCCTCCACATTTCCTTCTCTCAGTGCTGCCTTGCAGTTGAGGTGAAGCTAAGACTGCACAGGTGAAATCTAAATCTGTTTTTCTAGTTACTTTGTGTTGTTGAAAAGGGAAGGTTTGTTTGTTGAAGGGGGTGGGGAGATTAAAAGGTTGATTTGGGGAGTTATTTGAGGAGTTCGGTTCGCTATTTTATTCCAGTACTCTGGAATCTCAGGTAGGTGGGAGAATAGTACCTACGGGAGAAATCAGGAAGGGTGGGATGGGGCCGGCGGTGTCTACCGTCTTCTCTCAAAGGGAATTCCAATTTTGTTGAGCACTGATGCAGTAAAATATAATTTCTAACACCTTTTTCATAATTTTTAGCCTGCCCTATGACTGTCATTAAAAGACGAGACGTGTAGGTGTGTTGATAACACGAGCTTGCTCCCTGTCTTGTTTGGTTTATTCGTCCGGACATGGAGCATGGAGGATAGATACATAAGCTCCCGCTAGCACTCTCTCTCTCTCTTTGGAGTTCTGCTGCAAGCTCTGCACAGTTCTCATTCCTTTAAGAACTCCATTTACTCCAAGTTTATTTCATTGCCCTGTTTCTCTTATGTCAAATCAGTTTCTGATGGTTGCTTTTCAGAGTGGTGGTGTGTCCGTGCCTGGTCAGGTTTATCAGCTTAGCCAGACAGTTTCCTGCAGGTCCATTAAATATGTCATAGCCAACCCAATGTCCTGGAAACGGGACATTGTTATTGCACCGTGTGTCTAGTAAGGTTCATCTGTGTGGACATTTCCATCTTTCCCTTTTCTCTCTCACTAGTGCTTACATCTCTATGGGCTTTGGAAGGGGAAGAAGCTGGAATTCAGGATGGAGCCCTTGTCTATGGAATTGGGAGACACAGTCACTTTTGAGCTACAAATCACTCGAGAACAAGCAACACTTTTTCCATCAAGCTGCAAGCTGCAGCCTCCTTGTGCTGTGCATATAAAGTACCAGTCCCGCCCACTCCTTCTCGACATCATAAACCAGCGTGGTCATGGGCTTTCCCAAACCTTCCTAAAGTGTCTTCCGCCTCCCTTGCTCTTTTTACTCCCCATGACTTCCATGTCACTCTGTTACATGCCCTCAGCTGATAGCCCTGATTGACACACTTCACATGTGAATTTTCTCCGCAGAACAGGGAAACAAAAAATGGACACACTTGGAAGGCAGTGAGAGCCATTCACAAGTGAACATTTTCTTGCGAAATGATTCTAGTAGCCTTCACAGCTCAATGATTGAACTGTAAATCGCAGAGGAAGGATGTTCTTTGAAGTTGTGCTGTTTGGCCAATTTCCATATGTCTTTAAGATATTTATGATTATATTTATCAAACTACTTGAAGTGTTTCTCGTTTTGGCTTCTTTTTAAGCAAATAGAGTTTCTGCTCTCTGGGAAGGATCATTTTTAAGCTTCCACATCTTCTATTGTAAAGAATGGTAACTCGGGGACCACATGGTAGCAAATTGCCTGTATTCAGATGTGCCGGTTCTCAATGTCAGTTAATCCTTTGCCTCTTTGCCAGGTGAGTCCACTTGCCTCAAATTACACCACCTCTGCACTGGAAAGCCCAAAGTTCAAAATCTCTACTGAGTTCATTTGACATTATTGCTTCCCCAAGCTCCTCCTTTTGTATGAGGGGCCTCTGTCCTTTCTGGTCCCCTTGACATGCCCAGATTTAAGCTCTTTCTTTCCTTTCTGGTCCCCACATTTCCCATTAAAAGATTATAAATAGGCTCGGCATATGAATGCTGAAATAATTGTTCCAGGCTGCATTTTAGTCGATCAGAGTTTACCATGTAATCTCTGAAAACAGGAAATACAATCCTCTGGTGATTCATGTAGATGGGCCAAAGTAAGGTAAAGTATATGTAGTTATCTCTCCTGGGTTTGTTCATGTAATTGAAAGAGAAACAAAGGTGTTTTGTTCCTTTTCTGGCAGGAGCTCATAGCAGGCAACCACACTTTAAGAAATGGAGAAGTGTGAATGCTTCATTGAGGTCTAAGTAGATCTAGGAGGAAGCGAGGTGCTCTGTGGAGTGCTGAGTCTAAAGGCGTTTAAAAAGTAATGGAAAGGAGGGAGTATGATGGGATGGATATATTAGCTTGGGGCTGGATATGCCTTAAGGTGAAATGGAATACAGTTGTCACCGATATGAGCTCTGACCATGGAAAAGAAAGAGTAATGGAAC